ATGGAAACCCTTTTTGTGACCTTTTTTACATGGTGAGGGGAGATTAGTGGTGGAAAAAAAATGATATTGTGTTATATTTACACTAAAAAGTGTTTATGTGTATATATGTTTAAACTGAAAAGGGAACATTTTATATAAGCTGAGGTTTACATTTATACTATATGCATTTAAACCTGAAAACTTTAGCAGAATGCAAATGAAGAATCTCGTTTTCATTCATCACCATCAAAGTTTTTCTCTTCCACAAACATACTGTCCTTGGGCACATCTACATTTACCACTTAGGTCAGTATAGGGCCGGATCAGTCCTATAGCAGCTAAACACTCAATGGAACTGATCCAGGCTAACATGGGGAAAGCTACCTTAATGTGGCCTTGCCACACATTAAACAGTAAAAGGATAGTCCACATTCTGGCCCGACTTTGGACCACTCTGAATAGTTGGAATCAGCCTCAAATGTTTCCATCCCCACCTCATGTTTCTTGGGCTTCACACTTTCCTAAACATGGAAATAAGAAGTTAGATCTTAATTTCATATATTCACTTTTTAATATGTTAAAAATCCAGTGCTAATATCTCATCAGATAGCCTGTTGTCAATTTAATCACTCTAAATTTCTTGAGGTTTTTACCAAACGTTTATGGTTTTATCTGATTCCTCTTTCTCTGTTTTTATTTTTTTAATGTTTTGTTAATTTTTAATATCATATTAACACTTTAATTGTTGTTAACCAAGGAAGAAATGTGTTGTTGAAGGCATTCATGGCCAGAATCACTGGGTTGCTGTGAGTTTTCCAGGCTGTATGGCCATGTTCCAGAGGCATTCTCTCCTGACGTTTTACCCACATCTATGGCAGGCATCCTCAGAGGTTGAGAGGCCCTCATACCTTTCAACCTCTGAGGATGCCTGTCATAGTTGTAGGTGGAACACCAGGAGAGAATGCTTCTAGAACATGACCATACAACCCAGAAAACCCACAGCAACCCAAGGAAGAAATATTTATTTGATGATAGTTATGCTTGTTTAATAGAAAGGCGTGCTTATTTAGTCTCTTTAAAAACACTTTGGATGTAAGTTTGGTCTGATTCCCTCAGTTCTGGAAAGCTTAGCTTTCCCCTTGAGGCATACTTCTAGTGTGCTTTGATGAAAAGAGTGGCATAGACTGTAGTCCGTAGTCTGATTTACATAATGGATTTTTGCATCGTCTGTTATTCATGATTTCTACTCAGAAGGATAAGAGCATTTCCCCATTTTTTAAAAGAAAAACAAAATCCCAATTGTTTATGCAGGTTGCTTCCTCAAGAAAGTGTTTGTACTTCAACATAGACAAATTGGCTGACTGTCATTTTTCAGATGAGCACTGCATTAAATGAATCTCACTCAGAAGTGTTTATCTTAACCTTCATGAAGTTTGGAAATTTGCTTTTACAATTCCAAGGCCTGAGAAAGGGACAGTACCAGTCAATGAGCAAATTTAGAAGAAATAACTTTTATTTTCCAACATTTCTCAAAAACAAACAATTATACTTAGTTACTTGTTTTAAAGGAGCATTTCAATGATAAAAGGCGGAGGCTTGGGATTCTTGCTAGTATTAATAATAATACACTTTATTTATATTCTGCCCTTCTCCCTTAGGGAACTCAGAGCAGATTACAGCATTGACATACATAGGCAAACATTAAATGCCTTTTCACAATCAAATACAATGAGACACTCTAATACAAACAAAGACAGAGGCTTCTCCTTTCATTTCCAGCTTCTGGAGGTGGTGTTCATCTCTGGCTCTGAGGAGGTGCTTTCCTTGGTTTCCAAGCCAGGAGCCTGCATTGTCACCTCCTGTTTGTATGGCTGGCAAGATAGCTTGGAGTGTTTCTTTTGCCTTTTCTCACTGAAGCAGTATCTATTTATCTAATCACATTTGCATGTTTTCGAATTGCTAGGTTGGCAAGAGTTGGAGCTGACAGACAGAAGTTCACCCCATCTCGCAGATTCAAACTGCCAACCTTTAGGTCAGCAGTTCAGCCAACCTACAGGTCAGCAGTTCAGCCAACCTACAGGTCAGCTGCACAGCACCACAAGAGTTTAACCCATTGTGCCGCTGCAGCTCCTAGTAACATTAGATATAACAAGAAGTAGAGCATTCCAGTGACCAGTGAACAACAAGGCTTTATCCCAAGGGTGGGAATTCAGCAGCGTATAAATGTAGTCTTTGGAGGCACTGAAGATTCAGATAGCCAAATTGTCATGTTGTGGTCTTCAGAGGTCCAGAGTTGCTAAAAATTGATTAGTGTGGCATTCTAGGCTCCAGAGCGTGACAGACACATATCAGTTCTATCCTAGTAGGTATTCACAGTTTGCCCATTTTCTCTGCAATATAAAACAGCTGCTGAATAAAGCAAATATCTACTGGATTTTTTTGGTCAGACTTTTGCAAAACATACAGCATTTATCATTCCTCCATTACCCTTGTTCTTTCCACACAGAGACTGTTACTTTAGGCCAGACCTGGAAAAAACACCGTATCTTCTTTAACTAGGTTTAATTTAAAGCACAATGTCACTTTCTATTTACATCTTCAAATGCCCTGAGACTCAGCAGAAATAGTGTGTACTTTAAGTAAAAAATATATTTTGCCCCTGGCTATGATCCCCCACTTTGTCCTTTATGTCAGTGTATGCTTTTAGAGTTAAAATGTATGTAGGTATCCATAATGATCGCTCTGTGGCTTTTTTCTCAAAAGCATATAATGCAATTGTTTTTTTAAATGCAAATGAATTACTTTGCTCATCTGTTATATTTTTCCACTGAGTAACAGTTTTTCCAAAAATTGGTGAATGCACAAGACATTGTGAGTAAAAAAGATTTCTACCACTATTCAAAGGGAACGCAATTTACTTATCTAAAAACCCCACCAAACATTATAGGCCACAATGGGATATAGTTACATAAAGACTTGTGTGCTTTATTGACAAGTGTATGTTCTGCCCCAAAGGTATAAATAGGAGGGTTTTTCATACTCTTTCACAAAAAGGGGCCTGTGATGGAGATAAACAATCTTTCACCTTTTTTGCACTTCATTGCTTTAAAAAAAACCCAGACTGGTTTATTTCTAGTTGGAGCAGATGTGGGAGACAATTGCTTCAAGCGGTGGACTTTAGCAAGATGCTTTTGCACACTTCCCCCTCCCCCTCCCCCTCCCCCTCCCCCTCCCCCTCCCCCAACATCTTGTCATATATAGAAGCATAGACAAGCCTGACTTTATATGTAACCAGGGCAGACTTGTGGATCACGTGACCCATCATATCTAATTCAGCCCTGATAACGAGGTAAATGTAAAGCAATGAAAAAAAGCAATTTGGACTTTGAGAAGGTCTCTTTGAGGACTTGTGTGTTTTATGTAATTACCTAAGGAGGTGTAATTGGTAAGTACTCAAGACCCAGAATTTACAATCAGCTCGCTTTATGGTACAGTAGAGTCTCGCTTATCTTTGCTCATCCAACGTTCTGTATTATCCAACACCGTCTGCCTCTCACCTGGATCCACAGCTGTTTCAATACATTGCAATATTTTGGTGATAAATTCGTAAATATAGTAATTACTACATAATGTTATCATTTATTGAACTGCTTCTTCTGCTGATTTGTTGTAAAACATGATGTTTTGGTGCTAAATTTGTAAAATCATAACATAATTTGACGATTCATGGGCTTTTCCTTAATCCCTCCTTATTATCCAATATTTTCACTTATCCAATGTTCTGCTGGCCCGTTTATGTTGTATAAGTGAGACTCTACTGTATTGTCCTTTCTTCCTCACTTGAACTTTCATATTTGTATCTATGAAGTAGATGTAGCTGTAAATAGATAATGAAAGTCAGAGCCCAGCTCAGAAAGACAGGTTGAGAAACTAAACTTAACGTTGATAAAATTCTGACTTCTTATACATTAACAAACACAGTATAGTTCACATGCTCAAGTGTGATTCTTTGGGTCTCTAGTAGTCATTTGAAGACATTTGGAGTATGTTTTCCCTTTTACTAATACATTGTCTCTTGGGTATTACCTGCTCAATGGTAATGTTGTTACGTATCTGCAAATCAACTCTGACTTATGATGAACTATGACAAGATTTTCTTGCCTTCTTCCAAGCTCAGAAGAGCATGATTCATTCAAGATCATCCAAAGGGTTTAAAACTTTGGTCTCCCAGACTCTTAATACATACAACACTAAAAAGTTTGCATTATTCTAGCTCTCTGCTGGACTATACATATATGTATTGCAGCACTGAAAAGGCAGTGCTCAAGACACAATATGGATGTGTCCTGCAAGGAAGGAGTCTTGCAGCACCCTGAAGGTGAACGAATTTATTTCATTTATGACTTCATGATTATGACCCACTACCTCAGTGTTTTTTGAGGAAATTAACTTTGAATATTCTGCTTTCCAGGTAGACTTCAGTAGATTGTATCATGTTCTAGTTTATTTTGTTTCATTTTCTTTAAAAATGTTAAATTAAAACGCTCCAAAAATCTAGCTAGGTTCTAGATCAGTGGTTCTCAAACTGTGGGTCCACATGTTTTGGCCTTCAACTCCCAGAAATCCTAACAGCTGGTAAACTTGCTGAGATATCTGGGAGTTGTAGGTCAAAACACCTGGGGACACATAGGGTAAGAACCACTGTTCTAGATTATCATTAGCATTGCATGTAAAGGAAAGCACTTGATGTAGAGCAAAAGCTGTCTAAGAAATGAACAAAACTCTGCTTCAATTAATATGCAATAAAGAAGATTAAAAAAACTGTATAAATGGTTACAGTTGTTGTGAGTGTATTCTCAGACCTGAACTGATGTAATTACTAATATATTGCTTTATTGTTGTGATGACTAGGTTTACTTCTCCTTTCACCTCTTCACTTTTTCATTTGTGGTCTTGAGCTTAAGGAAAAAAAATTAAAAGCTTCTATATCCATAAAGAGTGAATATGTCCAATTGTTGCAGGCTCTTCTCGTGGACCTAGCCCATTAACAATGGGTGCACAAGACACTCTGCCTGTAGCTGCGGCATTCACTGAAACTGTAAATGCGTACTTCAAAGGAGCAGATCCTAACAAGTAGGTATCCTGCTATTTGCTCCTATCTTTTCCTCATGCAGTGATTAAATTCTGCTGACTTTCATACAATCATTCTCCTTTGGAGGTGAGTACTCTAGAGAGTGCTGCCAGCTGAAAAGTAAAGGAAAATATTGATTTGCTGCTAATAAGTATGTCTATAGTTTCTCAAATAGAAAATTTTATTTATGTTCTACCTAGTTTCTAAGGTCAGGTGATACTTTTCCAACATTTATCTGTGCATCTTTTGAATTATTTCCAAACACCTGGGGTATCCAGGAATAGTATCTTCAGAAGATTACATCCAGTTGCACTTCATAGAAAGAGCTCAATGTACAGTAGAGAAATGTGCAACACCATTTTTGCCAAATTCTCCTTCTCCCAGTGCCATAGTCTTTGGCATTCTGTAGGATCTTCCAAACCCTGAGTAGATTTCCAAGAACAGAGAAAGCTGTGTGGGGATTTATCCTTTCTTCCGATTGTGGGAGAACCCTTTTAGTGGAGTTCCCACTCAAGATAGTTCTTGAATCCCACCTGGAAAGCATGTTTCTCCAATTTGTTTAAATATGTACATTGAAATCGGTATGTGAAACATACGCTTCCATGATATCTCAATTCTGACTGGCATTGTTATCACTTGATATATCTAAAATACTCAGTACAAAATAGTTTTATTGTAATACAAATATCAAGTTTACAGAAATAAACTAGTTCTTTTTGGTTCAATAAGTATTCACACATTTTTTTATGACATAACAGATAATCCCAAGTGAAACCCAGTGCTTCCAGAAGCAATATCAGTTGTTGAATGAAGCCCACCTGTCTGCAGTTCTAGTTACATGTGATCTCAGAGTAATTATACCTATATCTGGAAGGCTCTTGAGTTTACTTGAGAGTGTATTTAAGCAAACAACATCATGAAGACCAAAGAGCTATCAAAACAAGTCTGGGATAAAGTTGTGCAGAAGCACCAATTCAGTTTTTCTATTTTTAAAAACTTCTCCAGAGCATCCCTAACTCAATTATTACAAAATGGAAAGAATATGGTTCAACTGTGTGTCTAGCTAGAGAAAAGCATTCACCAGAACTTAGTAACAGTGTAAGGACTTCCTTTCTCCCTCCCTTCCTTTAATTACAATCCCTATCATGTGATCTCAGTGTGGAATATGATTAAAACAACATAAATATTTTTAATTCCAGTTAAAAACTACGGAATACTGTAAATAAGATAAAACCATATTAGTAAGAGGAGCAACCAAGTATTGGCTAGAGAAGCAGCCAGAATTTCAGTGGTGATTGTGAGGAGCTGGAAAGGCCTGGCTCTCCACACAAGCTGGGCTCCACATGAGAGTGCTGAGAAGAAAGCCATTACTGAAATAAACACTGTTTAATGTTTGTTTGAAGTTTGCAAAAAAAAAATCATACAAGGCTTGTCTAAATGAGCCCCAAAATCCAGACTCACAAAATGCTGGCTGTCCCCATAACGCACAATAGCTATCAGTAAATATGTAGGGTTATTTTTTTGTTTTGTTTTGTTTTCAGCTGACTTTGTCCTGATTTGGGAAAATTCAAGAGATACTCCAGAGTTTACTGGAAAATCCTGAGTATCTTCAGGGCAGTCTGGACAGTGGGATATAGTCTGATTTGGGCCAGTCTGCTGTCCAGACTGAACACAGCACGATTACCTTTTCTTTGCGCTCATCAGTGCATGAACCCAGTGTCTGTGTCACCACCACATCTCCTAGCTGGCCACAGAGCCCCATCTGAACCTCTGCCCATCACAAATGTCATTGCTGATGTCAGACTAGGGCACTAATGTGACCAACAAGAAGGCGGAAATATTCTCCCCTCCTTGATGGTTGCGCAGGTGCCTTATTTTGGCATCAGCAAAGGTACCTATGATGGCCAAGAGTTTAATAGAAGCTCTATGGCTGGTTGAGAATGGCAGCGGTGACTTGGTTGAGATGTGGGCTGCCCCAGTGGAGTGGATGTAGTCCAGGACCATCTATATAACAGCTCTGGACTTGGCATGAAACTGGTCAAACTCAAAAAGTGAATACAGCCAAAATGAATTCAATTCTGGAAGAAAACCTGTTTGAGTTTCCACAACCAACAAGTCCCAGTTTTAATTTGTTTATTTTACGTTGGTGCCCCAATAAAGCCTTCAGAGTATTGAGACTTGTGTACATTAAGTGGTAACAATGTTAATTAAATTCATTTAGATTCCAAGTTGTAAGCAACAAAAGGTGGAAAAGCCAAATGAGAGGTAGATCCTTCCGCAAGGTGCCACACAGCTACAGCTGGGATAAGTTACTTGTTGGAGTATAATTCCCAGAATCTCCCTGTCAGCATTGTGAGCTGCACACTGGGTGCGAGAGAAAAGTTTTGTTGGAAATCCCATGTATACTTCAGGAAAGTTGGAAATCCCATGTATACTTCAGGACATATGAAAGCAAATGCACATGAGATAAAGGAAGAGAATGAGTCAAAAGTTGTAGCATGTTTCTCTCACCTAAAAACATGCCAAAGAAAACTCTGCTAAATGTTTTTTTAGCAGAAGGTTGTATAAAATAAAACTTGACATAATTCATGTTTATATTTCTATTACTGTTAAGGTAATTTCAGAATTTGTGGATTGTTTTTTAACATTTGGTACTTTTATAGATTACTAAAGCATGTACAGGCAGAACACTGCTTTCCATGTTCCAGAGAATAATACTATGAACTATTTCTATATGACTATTTGAATTCTAAAGACTTGGATTACACACCAGCAATTTAGTCATGAATCTTTTGTTACAGAAGTAGTTTGGCAGTTAAGGCACATGCTGGCATTTGGTACCATTGACTTATTCTTCAAAGAGTAGACCTTTTTTCGCCCTGCTAATTACTACTTATGAGATGCCAGAATAGATGATCTAGTATAGCTATATCTGCAGGGTTTTCTATTCCACTGGTGTTCACTTGGTTCTAATCCTATAAAGTAGAAGATTCAGTAGTATTTTAGTTCAATATTATCTTAGTATTTTAATTCAATAGTCTGTTTTTATTGTAAAATATAAGGCACATAGGCAAAAAAAGATGGTGCCAGCATGATAGGAGGCATTCAGCTGGGTGGAATTTAGACCAGTGTTTCTCAAAGTATGCTCCTCCAGGTGTTTTGGCCTTCAGCTCCTAGAAATCCCAGCTATCTTACCAAGTGTTAGGAATTGTGGGGGCTGAAGTGTTGCACTCCAGGACAGGAAAAGCCCTCTGACTTTAAAACACACTACACGTTGAGTGAAGAAACAAATCCTTTTTTACTGAAGCTTAATAAAATAGCCAGTAGAAAGAAATGCTTGTAAGAAAACAGGAAAGTTCCAAAAAGCAAAAGGTCAGTAAAATGCAGTAACTCAAAGCAATATCCATAATAGATATAAAAGCAATCCAAGGCAGTATATATCCAATAGGATTCAACAGGATGCAAAGGCAATCCAAAGGCTGCTGGTAAACACCAAAAGGCTAGAAGCATCCACAGGAACAAGACCCCTTAACCAGGATTTCCATGGCACATGAACTTGATTTCCAAATGATGCCTGATTTAACAGGTTTTCCCTTGAAGCAAACCTTATATCCCAAAACCCAGAAACTGGTTTTGTTTTCCTTCTCCTTTGGCTCTTATCTGACGAAGCCTTTTGGAGCCATGTAAATCTTGAGTTTGTTGTCAGTCCTGGCTAAACTCCAGCCACCTGTTTTTCAACTCCCTTTCTGGTTGCTCATTAAAATTTCTAGGTGTCAGAAACCCAAATCTTGAGAGCTTACAGAAAGAGGGAGTAAACCATCATCCCTCTGTTGTAATCTTCTTTTTAATACACAGATGCTGCATTATTGGGAGCCTTCAGACCAGGCTTCTTCAAATTGCACCCCCCCCCCCCAGGTGTTTTAAACTTTAGTTCCTAGAATTGAGAAGCAGGCAAGAGCTTCTGGAAGTTAAAGGCCCAAATACCTAGATTAAATTCATATTATTATTTATTCATTATTTATTTGTGTSRCCCCCACTCCAGTACTACTTCTAGTTCTTCATTCTTTCTGTGTTGCAGCATTCATGGCTCTATCGAGGCAACCAATCCATTAATCTAATTGCAGCTTGTGTATAGGAAACTAAGAACCAAAATTAGAACTGCCCTGATACGATCAGATTTCCATTAACTGCTACCTTGAGTGACATCCTGGCACCAAAAGGGAAACCAGGTGCTGTCTAAAACTGACTCTTGAAAATGTATATAACTGACTTGCAGGTTCTGTTTCTATTTGTTTTCCCTTATTTCAATCCTGAAGATGCATAGTCAAGGTTACTGGAGAAATGGTGCTGTCATTTCCTGCAGGAATTACTAGACATTTTGCCAACAATCCCAGCCCGGCTGTTTTAACGTTCCGTGTGACAAATTACAACAGGTTAGAACACGTCTTGCCAAATCCCCAACTTCTTTGCTGGTAAATATCATTCTATAAATATTACTCTATTTTACACTTTTATTGATGTATAGGGAAAACATACTGTATGTAGCTTTTGCAGAAAAAAATGTTCATAAGTTATACATTTACTTATAGTATATACACAAATACCTAATGGAGGACCTGTGAGGTTTGCCAGTTGTTTTTGAAGTCGTTTCTCAATATGCCTAGTAGTGGTAGAGTTTCAGAAGGATGTAGTATGTCTTCATATCTGAGTTTGTGGTCAGACATCAGCTCTGTCAATCTCAAAGCTTAAACAGTTACTTTTTAAAATAATTTGTTACAGCTAAAATAATTTCTTACACAGATTAGTTACAATTTAAATTCCCCAAAAAGCACTTACTTAACATTATAGTTGAGGTTTAAAAAATAATTTTCATGCTCTCCAAAAGAAATTGTCGAAGGCTTTCATGGCCAGAATCACTGGGTTGTTGTAGGTCTTTTGGGTTGTATGGCCCTGTTCTAGAAGCACTCTCTCCAGACATTTCACCTACATCTGTGGCAAGCATCCTCAGAGGTTGTGAGGATGCTTGCCACAGATACAGGCGAAACGTCAGGAGATAATGCTTTTAGAACAGTGCAATACAACCTGAAAAACCTACAACAACCTATAACAGTTTTTCAATTAATTTTTAAAAATTGAAAATTATGAACACAGATTTTAAGTATAATGTCTGTGTTCACTTCATTGCCACCAAAAAGCCCAAACTTCAGAATGAGCCAACACACTGGAAATGTTTGATTTTTATTACTTCTCTATCACTTCACTACACTTCTATAGATTTAAAATTAACTAAAATACGATTGTACTACAAAGTGAGAGGCATTAGTCCTCAGATATTACAATTTAATGTCATTTCTTAATTAATGAGGAAATACATTGATTGTAAGTAAATAATAATAATAGTAGTAGTAGTAGTAGTAGTAGTAATTTTATTTTTATACCCCGCCTCCGTGTCACCGAAGGGACTTGGGGCGGCTTACATGAGGCCAAGCCCGATCAACACAGTTAAAAAGAAATACAATTAAAATGCAAACAAAAATATAAAACAAAATAACAATATAATAATGTAAACAGGCATCAAAACCAACAACCAATAACAAATTCAATTTATTGTCATGGGTGGGTGGACTGGTACAACAATAATTTAAAGGATAGGCTAGTAAGCAAAGTGCATAGGTCATGTGGCAACAATGGCAAAGTGCAATGTCAGTTTTGGGTCCTAGCTGGGGCCATCTATCTATGGTTATTGTAACAGGATACTTCCAAGCTGTAGTCATTACTATTAAATTCGGTCAGTCCAAAAATCTGTATGGCCAGGTGAGGAAAAAAGCTAAACCACAGAACTAGAACAGCTTTGTTTTAATTTTTCTTTTGTGAATGACATGTCTACTATAAGAGTTTTATTGTTCACCCTGCTTCATTCATGACAATTTAAAGAGATGATTCCCACTGTTGTCTTTTCTATGTGTACCTCTCCTGTTCTTCCCATGCTCTACATCCAACTCTTTTCTAACTGGAAAAAATATATGGGGAGGGAAAGCGTAACTTTTGATCGTTAGTATTAGGAGCCTTCCATCTGGAAGCAGCCCTAGACTGGACAAAAGGAAGCCATCAAGCACAGTTGGCCCTACATATCCATGAGTTCTGCATTCATGGTTTTAAAGCTGTTTTAAATTGGTTTTTTTTAAAAAAAACACATTGGAAGAACAGAAATAAATACATTTATTTTAAGCATAAAATATTTAAACTATACATTACAAACCACCTCTGAGTATTCCTTGTCTAATAAAATTAATTGGGTTATTCTATTCCTATTGCTCACAGCTTGGCCATATTTACAGCAGCTTCCACCACTGGATGATGATCTCAGTTTTATTGAGTCTGAGTTGATGTTTCCATATGTGTATGTGTTTTATTTGATTGTATTTTATATTGTGCTTCATTCTTACGTTTGTTTGTTTGTTTGTTTGTTTTTTGGCACTTTGTGCCGTTGGCCAGCCGCCCCGAGTCCCTTTGGGGAGATGGTGGTGGGATATAAGAATAAAGTTATTTTATTATTATTATTAGGTTGCCATAGGTCAACAAGACACTTGAAGACAAATGGATGCCTGCGGTGGTTCAGCAACAAACTAAGATCTATATATACATACAGTAGAGTCTCGCTTATCCAGCCTTCAGTCATCCAACATTCTGTATTATCCAATGCAGTCTGCCTCCCGGTCATATCCACAACTGTATCAATACATTGCATTGTTTTGGTGCTAAATTCATAAATACAGTAATTACTACATAACGTTGCCATGTACTGAAATGCTTTTTCTGTTGATTTGTGGTAAAACATGATGTTTTGGTCCTTAATTTGTAAGATCATAATGTTATTTGATGTTGAATAGGCATTTCCTTAATCCCTCCTTATTATCCAACGTTTTTGCTTTTTCAATGTTCTGCTGGCCTGTTTATTTTGGATAAGCGAGACTCTACTGTACATTCAAGACTGAACACTGCTTTTTTTATATGATGAAGGGCAAATGTTTTCTGTTTATGAAAGTAGCCCTTTGTTTCTTCTTTTTCTTCCTAAATGAATGTAGTGACAGCACACAAGCAGATGCCAACACAAAGGAGTTCTGGGTGAACATGCCAAACTTGATGACTCACTTGAAGAAAGTGTCAGAACAGAAACCACAAGCAACGTATTATAATGTGGATATGCTCAAATATCAGGTAAACCTATTTACAATATTTGACCTCATGAAAGAGGTAGCTCATATATAGTGAGGTTCACAGGCAAAGTTTGATCATAAACTTTCAAGTCAGTTTTATTGGCCTAAGGCTACCTTTCGTATTGTTTTTTAAATCATCATTCAGAACATTTTTGTGTTGAAAATACTTAGTGCTTTTTAAAAGAATCCTTGCAGCTCATTGTACATACTAAATATTCTCTTTCCATCTTACAAGGTTTCAGCCCAAGGTATTCAGTCTACTCCATTGAACCTTGCAGTGAACTGGCGGTGTGAGCCTACAAGCACTGATCTCCGAATTGACTACAAATATAATTTAGAAGCAATGACAACCCCAGTAGCTTTAAACAATGTCCAGTTCCTTGTTCCAATAGATGGAGGAGTGACAAAACTGCAAGCTGTGCTTCCACCTGCAATTTGGTATGAACTAGAGCTAGTCCGAGATCCATCCTTGATTTATTTCCACCAGTGCACAAGTCTTCCTGACAGAAGCTGAGCCAGCCTTTTGGACTATGAAAATTAGTCACAGCTGTTGAATCATTTGTTCATTAAATGTTTGGCACAGTTCTGTCTGAGCAACACAAGGGTTGGGGAACCTGTAGCCCCCTAGATGGTGGTGAAAAAGCTCCTGTATGGTTAAAGCTGTATTGTACGACTCCTGATGGAAATTAAATCCATTAATATATAGAGAGCCACAAGTTCCTCCATTCTACAATATCTATTTTATATGTAACTTTCAAAAAAATCAAATTTAAAACATTAATAAATGCACAGTCACTGAAATTTCACTAAAAGTGATGGGACCTTCATTTCAGTTAACATACCAAGACTTCCAGTACCATAGCATTTTTATCTTGATGGTTGCAGAGGAACTCTTTCAAGGATGAAAGACTGATATTGGAATGTCTGATATTTAATAGTAATAAGAAACAAGATACCCTCAATTCCAAAATGGATATAACAACTGCAGGCACATCTCTTTAAATAAGTCATTTAATTAATATATAAATCTGTCTTTTCACTCTGCTTTAAAGTACAAATGATGTTCACAATTGGTGGGGGCTGCAGGCATGTTTCTCCCTGCCAGATTCTTCTGATATTAAAGCGCCAGTGGTAGAGCAATGACACTGAGAGGCAGGCATCAGAAATAAGAGAGGTGGCAAGGAAAAATTGTCTACCATTTCCTCTTTATTGTGTAGTTCTTTCCCACTTTGTAATCAATTTGAGATATTGTTAAAAATGTAGATGTACTCCTGCTACTGTAGGGGCCACGGTAGCACAGTGGGTTAAACCACTAAGCTGCAGAGTTTACTGACTGGCGGTTTGAATCTGCACAATGGGGTGAGCTCTCTTTATTAGCCCCAGCTTCTGCCAACCTAGCAGTTTGAAAACATGCAAATGTGAGTAAATCAGTAGGTACCACTTCAGCTGGAAGGTAATGGCGCTCTGTGCAGTCATGTTGGCCACATGACCTAGGCAGTATCTACGGACAATGCTGGCTCTTCGGCTTAGAAATTGAGATGAGTGCCACACCCCCAGACTCGATTAGACTTAATGTCAAGGGGAAATCTTTACCTTTACTTTACCACTGCTGCATGTGGTTTGGCAGTTACACCAGTTTTTTCAATCTACAAATATGTAGAAGAAATGCTAGCAAATAGGTGGGGGAGATGCTTGCATTGCCATAACTATGTGAAATAGAATGATGCTATGTATATCACAGACCAATTGTCCATTGAAATCCCACATTAGATATTACTCAATCCAGATTTTCCACTGTTCCCACCACACTTACTTTAGTGTTGGCAAGGGAAGATTAAAATTGGAGTAGAAATAACACTTGCATTGACTGTGGAACACTACATAAACTTCTTACGTTTCCCATTCTTCCAATATCTTGATAAGGATTCTTCAGTATTCTTAGTTTTTATATGAGCAATATTATCTTTTTTTAGGAATGCTGAACAACAAAGGATATTATGGAGAATTCCTGATATTTCACAAAAATCAGAAAATGGAGGTAATAACAACACATTTACCCTGAAAATGCATTCTTTTCAGACTCCCTGAGCAATGGCAGTCTTAAATTGTTTATATATTCTGGAATTAGCACATTTGTTCAGTTTCGTGTCAGTGCTCCTTTATCTCTCTTAGCCTTCACATATATCAGCTTCTCCTTCTTTGAGTGGAGTAGACAGAGGCATTTAACAGCACAAGCATAGATTTTAGGAGAAGAAGGGGTGATCATGGCCTAATGATTACAAGATGAAAACTTATGCTGGTATTCCACTGCAAGCCTTCCTCATTGTGTCTGCTGCATTTTCTTTCTCAAGGTGTGGGCTCTTTGCTGGCCCGATTTCAACTATCCGAAGGACCAAGCAAACCTGCCCCCCTGGTTGTGCAATTCACCAGCGAAGGGAGCACTCTGTCAAGTTGTGATATCGAACTTGTCGGGGCTGGGTATCGTTTTTCACTTATTAAAAAGAGATTTGCAGCAGGTAAGAACATCCCCACTTCTTTTTCCCCTTATTAATGAGACACTGCATCAGTAAAATGGTTAGAACATCAGTTGGGCAACTTTGATTTGAACAGCATGGTTTTCAGTGTTATTTGCTCTGCATCTCCAACTGCCAGTGGATAGAGTAATATAGAGTTATCATTCTTACCTGATACATATTCACAATCCATATCTATATGGATTGTGAATATGTATCAGGTAAGAATGGTAACTCTATATTACTCTATCCACTGGCAGTTGGAGATACAGAGCAAATATATCTATTGCTACTGTGGAGAAAATGTAGGTCCTTTGAATCTTGATTTACCAAGCAGCAGCTACTGCATGCAGCAGGGATCTGTTCTGTCCATTGGGATGCAATACAGCTTTTAGTTAAATATACTGGTTAAGTGTGCGTAATTAAGAAGCTGATCTTAACTGACTTTTACAATTTTTATTTTTATTTTAACACAGTTTTTATCCTTTACCCTGCAGGGAAATACCTGGCAGATAACTAAAAGAAGTTTATGCGAGTATATGGAAAATCCATGTGGCTGAGGACTGCTGGGAGTGGACAGGTTTTATATGCGGTTTGAGGAAAATCTAACTAAATCCTGTACTCGGGACATTTCTGTTGGAAGTGTCAGAAACTTTCAGCGTTTCTCCCTCCAAAATTACCATGTTGACCAGTCCTACAGTATTTACTTCTAGGTGTAATATTGTTAATGTTTTAAATTGTAATTATTGTATTTGTAAATTGTATTCATTCCAGTAAGGCTGTATTTTGGCAGTTAGACACCTGAGTTTTAGGATTTTACCATTCATGAAATGGATGTAATTTAAACTGTGGTATATAAATTTAATAGTAGTACTATTGAATGGCACAATGCTTTCAAAGGTAGATAACATTTTGTCAATATATACAATTTGAATATGATGCTAATAGCTGTGAGGAAGGGGGTGCCTCAAAAAGAAAGTGAAATAGTAACCCTGAAAAATCATTTGATTTTCTTTATTTCCTCCTTCGTATTTGTCATATAAATAGTTATATGAACAAACAAGTCTATCTTTAAATATTAAGTTTATTTGACTCCAGAACATTTCTGCAAATGTTGATGTCCCCATAAGTTATTTCCCCAAATGATAAAATATAATTTTATTTTTCACTTTATACACTTCTTCGTATTTTCCTTTTGAGAATATCAATCAATCAGAACAAGTGTTTTGGGTTTTTTAAATTCCAGATAATTATTAGGAAATCCAGATGAGATGAAGGACGTGCTGGAATAGTTTTCTTTCCGGTTTCATTACTTTTCTGTGATGCAGATGTGGAAATAAAGAACCCAATCCCATGGAAACTACTGCATTGTGAAATTTCAGTTCAAACTTACTGAAAGCTAAGTTTGGCAGCAAAGCAGTTTCAGTTATTTTCACTAGAAGTTGCACAGTTTCACAGATCATTCTCAGAATAACAGTTTTAAAATATAAAGTGACAACTTTGACTAACACCTTTCTTTGCGGCTATAGCAAGAAATACTGCTGTCATATTTTAGCAACAGTATAGTTTTGTAGGCGTGCGTGCTAATTTTCTTACAGTAACATTGGCAATACAAATTCCTTGCTTTGAGTATGTTCTTCCATCCTTTTAAGTCAGATTCTATATTTAGTGTGGGCAGGATGAGCTTCAAAATAACATATTTTCCTCTCTCTCTTTTTTTTAATCTGCACTTATAAGTTAAGAAGGAAGAGTTTGCATGCATACCATAATCAGCAATAGGACTGGATTTTCATCTCTACTATAAGCACTTCTAGTTTGTTCTGTTTTCTTGAAACATAAACAAGCCTAAAGTTTCTGATCGGTTGTCAGATTCCTCTACACTACTAAAATCTTTATGGAACTTCCCCTGCCAAGGCTTTTTCTGTGGCATTTGTTCATTTGGCTGTTAAGTTTGCAGTCAAAATGCCAGTCGAAGCTAATGGGGGTTATGAGAGGGCATTGCTGAGTTTACAGAAGGTGATGAAACTGATAGACTGGTGCCCGTATGGCTTTATTCTGTGCACACAACTAGTATTTTTGCAAACTGAGATCTAAATAGGTTGGCATCCAACTGTTTCATTGCATGGAAAAAATAGCTGTACTCAAGGAACAGCTACGTCTGCATTAAAACAAGCAGACACAATCAGAGGCTTTCTTGAAATCAGACCATCAATAGATCTCTTTAGAAACAAATATGGGAAGCATATATCCCAAAGGAGGACATGTTGAATTTTTTACATACAGCATGAAAGGATTAATAATAATGTTAATTATTATTTTTATATGAATGTTAGAAAAGCAATCCTTTTTCTTTAGCTGATCTGGCTTTTTGCATGTTTTCTCCCCTGTAGCACTAATTGGCTGATCCGTGTGGGTTTTACTAGAGCTCTGTTGGTTGGGATAGGAGAAAGTTCATGTTTAGACTGTCATTCCTACAAGACATCATATTAGGTGTCTGATCTTTCTGCATAAAAGTAAAACTGGCCTGCTGCTGGGAAATCATGACATTGTGGGGAGTGAGAGAAAGCAAGTTTTTGCTTTGGTCAAAACACCGCAGAACTCAGAATCTTCTTGTGGCCATGCTGGGTGAGAAATTGTAAGGTCTGCAATCTAAAGAAAATTCCAAAGTTCTTATCTGGCCACATTTTCCTATGAAATACAGTAAGACCCCCTTATCCACAGAAGATAAGTTCCCGTGCCCACCCCATCTGAAATTGAAGGTATCTGAAACTTATATTTTTGCTTCTTGTGGCTGGGAGAGGTCCCCCTATCCACAGGAGAACCAATTCATTCCCAACTTTACTCATGCCAGCTCATGTTTGTACAATAAGCAGAAGGCAAGAAGCCAACTTTCAGCGCAAAGAAGCAGTAGTACAACACTGGAGGACTGTGAGAAGCCCACAAACACTTCCAGTAGCAGTGACTACGGGTAACCGAAACCATGGGGGGAGGGGGAGGGGACACGACCATGGATAAAGAGGTTTTAATGTATGCTCTTATAGCTGGGGATCCTTTCAAAAATATACATGCAAGTTTTGAACACCAATTGGAATTGAAAGCTCTTGCCATAATTGATGTCAACAAAATTATTTATAAACCAAATTATTTATAAAAACAAATTAAAAGAGCCTGAAAAATATTTAAACTTTAAATAGACAAGGAGCTGGAAGGAACAATGTTCAAAATAGTCTATGCATGACATCAACTTGCAACTAACTAACCTAGTTCTATTTAGAGATTATGTACAGATTCTCAACATGTCAGATGGCAACTAATTCCTACACAGAAGAAACTTATTTTGGGCATTTCTCCAAGTTGCACTTTATAAGGTTTAATTAAAATAGGAGCACCCATGTTTTTGTAAACAAGTTGCCTTAAAACTCTTCATTCAGTACTAGCCTGCAGTTGTTTACCACAATGTACAAAACATCTGCAATTGGCAACCTTACAAATCTATCCCTGTTACTTGGGTATCTTGTTCACTTACAACTGATTTTTATAACTAGATCCATGTCTATTGAGTAAAAATTCAAAAATCAATTTATTTGCCAAGTTCTAGCTGATAAAAGAACCTGATATACAAATTTGATTACCAAATTTCATTATACAATAGTCACACACCCCCACCCTTTAAAAAAAATCTAAAATTGGGTGGGGGTGCAACTATTTCACATGGGGAAAAATCTGCCTTAGATTCTCTGGTTTCTGTTGGGTTTTTGTTTTGTTTTTTAAATAAAAGGCCTTACCTCCAAAGGAAGAGGAAGAGGAGGCTCCAGTCTCAAACAAACAGCCTCTGTTCTGTCTGTTTTTTTAAAGCTGCAGAGCCATTGGGACTGATTCTTCTTTCCTTCTTTCTCTGAAGGCCAGGCAGTTTAAAAATTATAAAGTAAAGGTCTCTGGAGCTCAACTTCTCCTTCCTTCTTCCAAAGCAAGACAATTTACAAAATCTGGAACTCGGTTCATTGCCGAAAGGGGGGACAAATCCGAGTTCCAGAAACCTCCATTTCAGGGGGGGGGGGTTTAACCTCCTTGCTTTGGAGCTTCAGATACCTCCATTTTATACTTTTTAAATTTCCTTGACTTCAGAGAAAGAAGAAAGGAAGGAAGGAAAAATCAGCCTCAAATGGCTCTGCAACTATTATGCAAGGAAAACAATAATACCAAAAAAGGGGGTGCAACTATTCTGCGGTGGTGACTATTATGTGATGAAATACAGGTATTCTTGTTTCATGGCATGTAGCCATAACATTCAATATGCTCAGGCTTTACTTTTTATGGACTATTGATAGATCCATATTCTAGAAATAGAATAAAAATACATATGTTTGTTGACTGTGCAAACGCAGAAGAAAATGTCAGTCATGATTCAGGGGATTTTTTTACCCAGTTCAGAAGAACTGAAGATAAAAATAATTAAAATATATACAACTGCCTTTGTATTATGCGTAGAGAGAGACTATATGATAAAAGAATATATAAACCAAGGTAGCAAGTGTTTCAATGGGGAAATACACCTGTAAAATATACTCAGGATCGTCCTTTCTTTCAGAATATACGGATAAAATCAAACACAATGCATAGCCTTCAAGAAGGGCGTTAAACTGGAAACACCTTTCTATCTTTCATGCAAGGTCTCTAGAAGGGAAACAGTAATTATTAAAGGAGTAAATAATACAATCGGTTTTACGCAGAAATAAACCCAATAAAGTCTGTGGGATTTACTTCTTTGTAAAGACCAGTATGCATAATTTCAGGCTGCAGGTTTTCTAAAGTGAGAATATAAAACAAATCTTTTTTTTAATTCTTTCTTAACCCAGGATAACAGTTCTTTTAAAATTTAGTTAACCACCTGAATTTTAGTGGGCTTGTTCCTCGTGTCTTTAGACATAGCAGAATAGCTTGAATACACAATTAAAAAATGTAATCAAGGTATTGTTTTCATTATACAATTCATAATTATTCATTCTTCATTCCTATTAGTAATACACCCACCGTATTTGTATTTAGCCTTTTCATTTTAAGAATCAAACTGACCAAAATTTCTGTTCACTTCTATTAGCACTGTGCCATACAATAATGCCCATGTCAACTATACTACACAAGAACATGGTTTTCATGGCTACTAAAATGTTTATTTCCAATTCTCATATTATTTTTAAAAGCAATCCCTTTATTTGGAAGTACATGGCAAACCTTTAAAAATTGTTGCAAGAGGCATGAATTACCCTTTACAGTGCATCTGAACATTTGATGGAGGAAATAGTTATTACTTTTAATAGTTCCTATAGGCATCCCCCCACCTTCAAAAAAAGCAAGTGTTGGTTTTCACTTGGTATTTGGGTTTTGGTATGTAGGTTATACATAATGGGACATGAGACTCTTGTGTTTATGCCCTCCACCTTTGCATGTGGAATGTCAAATGTGGTGTGATAATCCATGTGTAGATCCCTATTTACATGTAACACATAGACACTATCCATCTAATCTTTTGTGTGGACAACATCCTCTACATGAAGTATATCAGCACACATGTATATTGTAACACATGAAATGTTGTACACCTCTGGGGAGTACAAGTCCCTGAGACTGACTCCTGTACTCTGTTTTTGTCAGAAACCTTGGTATAGTGGCTCTTAAAATTATATTTATGTCAATCTTAATGTTTTAGTTGTGCTTTCATGAAACTAGGTACCACCCATTTCACTTGTTTTGTGTTCTGGATTATTTAATTTACCAGAGTGGAACAGTTATCTTATTAGAATTAAGTCAAAGCAAGGTGTCCATCTTATCAAAGAGAATGAAGCTGCAAAATATGTTTGGGGCTAGACTCTTGTCTGCTCAGAGTTTTATTTGTAGGTCATTTTCCAAATAAATTGAACTAGACACATACACAGTAGGGAAAATGAGATTTTTAAAAAACAACAATTTGATAACTTCGTGAGCAAAATCTATTTAGCTTCACTGAAGTTTCCTTTATGGATAAAGAAATGAGATATCTCTGAGAACTTTTCAAAAATGTAAACCAATTTGTTTCCCTTCTTTTGAACCTAACGTACTTTTAAACATTTGGAGAACTCACCATAAAGACAAACATTCTGAGGCTGGATCTACACCACCCTATATCCCAAGATCTGATCCCAAATTATCTCCTTTGAACTGGATTATATGAGTCTACACTGCCAGATAATCTGGGATTAGATCCTGGGTTATAGGGCAGTATAGATCCGCCTTCAGACAGCTAGTTAATTGGGCATATCAACACACAAGAGGTAGACTATCATACGTATATACCTCTATATAAAATTGATTGTATTTCCTTTA